TATATATATATATATATATATATATTGTCTTACCGTCATTAAAATATATAAAATAACTCCCACACTCCACAAGTCAGAGGCCCTCGTGTATCTCCCAGATATCAACACTTCCGGAGCCAAGTACCCATACGTGCCTACGAGACGGCGCTGGGGAGTCCCTGCACTGCGAGAGGCTGCTACAGGGTCTTCTATGAACACAGAAGTGTCGAAGTCTATCAGCAGCAACTCGTGTTGCTCCTCCATTGACAGCAGCGGAGGCTGCGAGCTGCGCTGCCCCAGCGACGATGCATCCAAGGTTCCAGACCCGTGAGCCTTCTCCCCATAAGAGCCCGCACCCACATCGTGCTGGTCCCGCTGTTGCTGTTGTTGAAGAGAAGAGCAAGAAGTTGCAGAACTACCGTAACTGTGCAGCCGGCGGCGGAACATCAGATTCTCCGGCTTCACGTCTCTGTTAAGAAAACCCAAAACAAAACGCTCGACAGCAGGTTCCGTCAACTCGCCCCACAACTAGTAATAAACGCTCATATATGTGTATATAAACGTATATATTTTATATATGCATGACAGGAGTACATTTTACAGGCGGGTGCACGCGCGCTACGAACCGAATATTGAAAACCCAAACGGGAAGTCTACACAGGAGGAAAAGGCGTTTAATCATTCGTATAGTGCGCCCTGTACATGAAATGGTTGGGGATTGAGGCTTCCTATGCGACGTATTGTATATAATAGTACCTATGGAGGAGGTTGTGGCTGTGGAGGTGGTCAACGGCTCGCAGTATTTGCAGCATGATGAACTGGCAGACGTCTTCATGAACAGTTTTTTCCTTCAGAAGAAAGTCGAAAAGCTCGCCCCCTTCTAGCTGCTCCGAGGCAAAGACAAAGGCCTCCGAAGTCTCCAGCACAGCCTCAAACGACAACACATTTGGGTGGGGGGGGATGTTCAGCAAGTGCGTACACATGCGCCGCCAAGCTCTGCATCAGCAGCAACAACAAAAACTACTTCCGGAATTAAAGACCCGAAACCATACACCCCACACAACAGACACTAGTCTTACCCACGTCGGAACTCTTGACAAGAATAACTTGTCGAAACAAGCCACGGAGCGCTACCAGGCTCCCTTGAGGAATCCAATGACTTACAACGCCACAAGAGAAGGCCTAGGATTTAACGTTTAGGGTATACGGGAAAGGGATAATGGGTTTTACTTCTCTGCCTCCGCATGCAGCGGGCCCTTTTTCTTCTTGATAACTTTGAGGACTCTCTTTTCTTGTCGCTCGTCCTTCGTGACGGCGTGGTAGAGCAGCGGCCTGTTGCAGTCTTCTGCAGTACGAGCAGCAGTGCCACCGTCGTTGCCTTGCTGCTGCCGTTGCTGCTGGCGCGGGTTGAACAAGGAGCAGACTGACAGCAGCTGCCCGAGGCGGTAGTAATCGTGGACTGTGGTGGAGCCTGTGAGCAACTGAATGGACTTGCGTGGTAGCAGCATTTTGCTGCTGCAGCGCAGGCCTTCACAAACGCAATCCAGATGTTGCGTATCGATTGTGCTGCAGCACCGTGTCGAAACACTCGAAATACCGCTGTGCACTGACAAATTCAACGGCCTCCCAGAACCAGAAACGAAGCTATCTCCAACCAACCCGGGCGAAGGAACACCAACAGAGCTGCGCATTAAACTGTTCCCGCCGCATTTGGTGCAGTTGCTGCCGCTGGTGCAGCAAACGCTGCAGCGCCTGTTGCTGCTGTCGTTACCGTTGCTCACGCAGACAGAAGACGACAAGGAGCAGATGCCGCACCGCTGCTGCTGCTGCCGCTGCTGTGATTGCTGTTGCAGCTGGTGCACTGAGTGCCGACGCAGGCGGTCCTGCTTGTGTTGCAGGTGCTGCTCCCGATGGAACTGTTCCTGCTGCTGCAGCCGCTGCAGCCGCCTCCTTCGATGGTGTTCGTGGTGTCCCCAATGCTCCTGCTGCTCGGCACAGTCGTTGGGAGCGTCTCTGCAATCCCGCACACAAAGCCATCTTGCTGGTGCAGTAGCAGAGGCGCTTGCTGCTGCTGCTGCTGCGGGGGCGGCTGCTCCAGCTGCTGCTGCTACCCCATTTGCACGCGCCTGCCGGGGATGCCGGCATGCGGAGGCCTCCTCTTCCTGAACTAAAGGGAGATAGCACTGATTGTCATGGTGATGCAGTTGTTGCTGTTGCAGCTCATGTAGAAGCTGCTGTTGTTGGTGTTGCTGTTGCCGACTTTGCATGAGCTGTTGCTGGCACCACTGTTGATGCTTGTGGTCACAGGGCAGCATATGAGGATGAAAGGGGGAAGCGAAGTCTTCGCAAGAAGGCAGACTGCAGTCAGAATGCAAGGAACGTTCGTCAGCTGCCGCTGCTTGTCCTACCTGGTGCAGCGCCTGCTGCTGCCCGTTCATAGCTCCGAGGCCTCCAAGACGAAGGCCATGCACCCCCGACGCGTCTTGCTGCACCCGCAGTTGCTCATGTGACTGAAACCCAGAAAAGAGAGGTTGGGCTGTTGCTGCGTCTTCTTCTGTTGCTGCAGGCCCTGCAGTCATAGTTGCAGCAACCGCTGTAGCCACCCCGGCAAGAGCAACTGCATGTGCTGCAGGCTCTACCGAGGACGGTTGTTTGCTGCTACTTAGGGGTACTTCTAGTGCACAAATAAGCGTGGGAATCCGCTGCTCTTGCGGCTGTTGTTGGTGTTGGTGTTGTTGTTGCTCCTGGTGCAGGTGCTGATGTTGGTGCTGGGGCCGGTTATCCTTTGGCTGTTGGTGCCGTCGCTGCTGTTGCTGCTGCGTGAAAGGAACCATGACGTAGTGAGTTCCGGCGCAGCAACAAGGCCTGTTGCACCTGCGGCTTTTCGCTTGCAGTGCTGCTTGCTGCTTTGCTGTTCTGTCTGCCTCCTTGCTGGCCTGCCGCTCTGCCGTGTGTACCGTTGCCTTGCTTAACAGCGTTTGACTGACTGCTCCGGCACTGCAGAACCGGGTCGAAAAAGAGGAGGAACCAAATGAAGGCTGCTACTGCCTCCTGGTATACAGGTGAGGGCTTATCAGGATCTTAAGAACAGAAGGAGAAGAATAAACAAGAAGAGGGAGGGGGACGAAGGCGAGTCACGAGAGAAACTGTAGTAGCGGTCCTCCAGCTACGTTGGTTGAGATGATGCGCGGGTAGGGGAGGAGAGGAGCCTCGAGCCTTCACAGCCCTCCCTCTTAAGAGATTGAGGAAACAAGCAAATGCCTGGTAGAAGGGAAAGCGCAAATACAGAAAAGTAGACCTTCCTACTACGAACGATGTACTGAGGCCAGCAAGCCCGACCGGCGACTCGCTGGGCAGACACTACACGGCTTTGAAAAAAGTCCTCCACTTGAAACCTCCTCATTTAAATGTGACTAACTAGGACAAGAAGATAAATAACAAACATCGAGATGAACTGTTGAACAGCAGCTGTAGCCCACTGGCCTCGGTCCCGTGGCCCGTGGGTTTCTGCAGGCGCGCCTCCCGCGCTGCGCCCCTGCGACTCCCCAGCACTCCACTGCTCCGGCCTCAGCACTAAAAACATTTCCAATGAAAACACACAACTAACTCTCATTAAAATAAACAAAGAACCCCCAAAAAGGTAAAGCAAACAAGCCCCATTTAGCCTGCTGGCCATTGGCCCACGTGCGGATCGCCAAGGTCGAGGCGGTGCCAGAGATGCAGCTGTCAAAACGAAGAAGAAGACGAAACCAATTATTTTTCACAAGTATGTATAGCGCGTAAAATTAAACTTAATAAGTACAATTCTACAAAAGATACAGTTCACACCTTCGCAGGCCCATGCCCTCCACTCGCCTCCTTCCTCCCCCCAACCCCCCCGTCCTCCACGCAGATAGCCACATTATGTTGCACTATGCACCCCCTCAAGCACAATAATAATAACGGCTCAGAATAACGGGTTTCTTTACACTACCTAGACCCTTCTGTCTCAATTGGGCAACGCTTCGGCCGCCGTTGACCGTTTTTAGCTACTAGACTCCACGTAGAGAGGATAATACAGACATCGCCTCCATATCAACTATCCAAAACAGCCGTTTCTTCAAGAAGCAATAAAATTTACCTACTCCTCCCAAAGTCGACTTGGTGTCCTTGCGTGCTGCCTTCGAGGCTGTCTGTCTACTAGGGCAGGGGACTCGTTCTACCGGGCATAGCGCTGTGCTCCTGTGTGTCTTTTGGGGGCTTGTTGTTCATTGGCAACTTGACAGGATATTTACAATCTGCACAAAAATAAACACACAGTGACCTGAAGAAGACGAAAACAACCGGTCTTGGGTACACTTCTAGCGCAAACGCCGCGCCTCCCCATGGCGACTCGATGCCAGATGATGGCAGAGAATCTTCATCAGTGCACTGCAACTTTAGTATCCAATTATGAGCTAGCTATTACCTTTCCCCGAGTGTGATCGCAAGCAACTGCTACAATGTAAGAGAAAACACAAAGAAGCTGGCGGCTACGCCCAACGTTGGGAGGTCACACAGGGTATCGAAGCATGTGCGTGGGGTGTAAAACAAAAGCGTCATCCCCCTTTGCTGAACACAAGTCTCAGATTTATGAGTGGCCCACTGGAAGCGCGGAGGGAATGCAATCTCCCTGCATTTGATGCTACCTTGGTGTCCGCCTTCGTGACCACGCCCCGCGAAGAAGAGTTGGCGTTTCTTCTTCACAGAGAAGGCAAACGAGCAACGTGAAAGGACATAATATGCGCTCTCCTGTAGTGTGGGCTTCCATGGGGCTTTAGAGTATCACCGCCTCCTGCTGCACCCGTCCTCGGGAAGATTTCCCAAAGGCGGGACACCTGCGGAGGGGCCTTAAAACCGCTTGTTAACGATACACCAGAGAAGGCTGAAACTGCAAGGAGCCTCCGGAGGAGGTAGGGAATCCAAGAAAAACAAAGGTTGGAAGTGCAGGTACTGGCACAAAGGAAAAGAAGAGCGGCGACTGGGGTCTGCGATCGGACGGGTATCGCAGGGTGGAAGCAAGTGAAAATGGAGATTTACACCTCATAACGACGAAAATAAATTGGAGTTAGATAAATGCTGAATGAGAACTGGGGGAGTTTTCGCTCATCGCGCCGCGCACTGCACAGCTGGTTAGATCGCTGCGTCTCGACGGAAGTCGGCAAGACGAGAGGAAACAGCGGGGAGTCACTGGGTGGGCTTCAGTGCTATAATTGATGGGATTAATGACGGATACTACCAGATGCAGCAAATCCATACACCGAGTTCATGCGCGCAGCCCTTCTAAAGAAGCAACTAGCTTCAAGACTCTACCACCCGCATCCGTGCGTCCGCGGCGCCACAGGCAAAGTCCTTAGGGCTGAGGGAAGCGCCACATTAGCAAAAAAGGTGAAGGCATATCCTTTTCTGTTTTGCACGTTTCACGAAGTAATTGCAATTAATTCCATTATACCTTCATTTTCATGCCAACAGCCCCCCTGTAGCCACACCGCGGCGACTGCGCGTCCGGACCACTGGCCGCTAGGCTAAGGCAATATCGAGCAGACAGTGGATTGTATCTATTAGAGTCATTGAAAACTTTAATTCTTTCCTATTTCATAGATCTAAAAGCTCAGGGAATGGACTAAGGGGACGACCCCTGTTGAAATCCACATCCGGCTGCTGCCCGCAGCGACGGCGGCACCAGTAGGGTTTAAGGGAGTATGGCAAATCGCAGACACCCCACCAAACATATTAGACTCCTCGCGCCCATTCCACTGCTTAAATATATCTGTAAATGCTTGGTTACTACTGTATGCTGTATGGAAAGCCCCTAAGTATCTCGGGAAACTGCGGGCCCCTTAAGCAGCGTCGCAGCCGGGTTGGCGGAGCCGGTGCTAGAACTCGGGGGGCTCCAAATTGAAAGTGTGTTGCGTTCCTATTTCAACGGTATGTGGAATAAATACAGGGTGTCATTTCTACTGAACTCACAACAACAGGGGACATTTGTCGTCGGGTCTACACAGCCCCCACTACTATGGGTAGCCTACTCGCGCCCGTCTGCGGGCGCAAAGATGTCTCGCGTCGCGTACACCGGTCGGTATCAGGAGGACTCTTCCTCTGAAAGCCAACGTATATAAGATAACTCATTTGTGTATACCTGAAGAGGAGGGCATATCAGCGGTACGCAGTGATGCTTGACTCCGGCAAAGCGCTCGATGCCGACGGAGGGAAGGAATTGAAAGCAGCAACAGCAGCTCAGGGAGATGAGGCGACAACAGAGGAACTTCATGGCTGCGCTGTAAACTCGTTGTGAGCTCCGTGTTTCTGCAGCCGTCATAGTTGCACTTGCGGTGGTGGTGTCTTGACTGCTCTGAAATTCCCCTGTATAGTGTATATCTCGTTGTGTCTGTACTGCAACTATAGGAGTACAAACAACTTCGGCCAGGACGGAAATCGTAAGCCGCGGGAAACTGACGAGACTATCAAAATTCTTGCGGCGTACTTGCGCCGGATAGATGAGGTACACGTACAGATGAAGGGTGCGGTAACAACTACATACGCAGCGTTCACCACATCTTTCCCTTTTCGTTGTCTTTTGTGAGTCGTAGTGCGAGTCAGCCATTTAATGAGCCATATGTGTATTCTGGCTGCGCAGGCGGAGGCAGATATTGAGAAACTTCGGGTGGAGGCTTTCATTGAAAGAGGTAGCTGGTGCCAAATGGAGACTGATCTCCTACGCAAGCGAATCGCTCTTCTTGGGGACTCTCTCAGCGGTATAAATAGAGAACATTAAGCTACAGGCGAATATTAATCCGATGTATGCTAATGCTTTGTCCGGCCGACGGCCGACGTCTTGTTGACTACCCGCGTCACGTTCCCGTCAACAGTGATGGAATCAACCTACTTGACTGTATTATGTTCTTTGTCAAAAACGCTAACTTTACCATTTCACCTAAAGCCTACATATTGGGGTAGACATCGGTTTCTGCCGTTTGACTTCCGCCACTGAAAGCTGAACAACAGCGCAAACATCTCCAAAGCTGTTGACCAGTGCGAGATCAAACCCGAATACGAGAAGTGTATTCTTGCCTTAGAGTAGTTATAGTCACTACACAAGCTCAAGAATTCCTACAGGGAGTAGAATTAATGCAGGCAAAGCCTGAACACACTGATTTTCATTGTTCTTGTTCAATGTGGAAGTGTGCCAATGTATACAGAATTCCATATGCAAAGACAGACACAATCCGTCCCGTCGAATCGAGCCTTTAAAGAACAAGCACTTTCATGCACCGGAAGACAAGCTTAGCAAAGCTGTGGGCTCATTTCAAAACGAGATAAGCAGATTAAAGGCGTGACTGTGAAAGCAGTAAAATGTTCTCTGTGTACGTGCTCATGCATAGAAACCAGTCCCCTATACATTCCAACAAAAAACATGCAGCAGATGTCGGGGCACCCAGCCGCATGGTTTCTGCACAGCTACTGCGTGCAGCTACTTTTTAGTGGAGGGTTAGGTCAATCTCTGAGCAGGTTCGGTAGCCTCCAATGCTTATTTTCTATGTTTATGGATTATAACGTGGGTTTTAAAAGTTTCAAAGGCGTAATTGTGGAATTCAATAGACTACAACGCACCTGCACACCGTTTGTGCTACGAGCGGGCGGCGGGGGGTGTGTGGGTGGAGGGGTTGGAGGCGTGCTGACGACGGTCTTTTATTGCTTCCTTCAGGAGCACAATCTGAAGCATTTAGTTCAAGCAATAAATATAAGTGAATTCATATTAAAATTGATGTTCATGTATGCGTACGAAGTATTGAGTCATGAGGTCCTTCGGAAAAAATTCTGCCCAGGGCGCATTGTCTGCGACGAGAAATCCGCGCAGTACACGGAGAGGACAGCGTGGCCATCAAAATACAGCAAACGGTCAAATGTAAATTATTAATGAAATTAGAAATGATTTTTATTTTTTTTTGGTGCTTTTCTTCCTCGAAGTAACTCAAAGGCTGGAGAGGCCATCACAGGGCGCGTGCGCGACCAGACAGCGCGCGCCATTGGACTGTGCAGGGCGCGCGGGTAGCGCAAAAGGGCTTATTCAAATAAATATCTAAACTCCTAATCATATTTCAGTTAGTAAAGTCTAAAAGGTGAAAAGTACCCCGTTTGCTTGTGCTTTTCCCTCCGCGTGTTGGTGGGTACCGAGCCTCCGCAGAGCGGATCTTTTGTCGCTGTCAAACAAAAAACACATTTGGAGGCGCCGCCTCACCCAATATTTGACTATAAAAGGACACGCACACAATGTAAACGGTAATATTCCGTCCTTGTGAACTAGGAACGAACTTGAACGCGGGTCCTAGTTAGCACCCTTCTGCACTGATCGGACCACTGCACGGACGTAGTGGAGACAGATATCCTCCGACAGGACTGCTGCTCCCCCCCCCAAAAAATCTGGGGTAAAATCTAACAAATCAATTAAAAAATTGTAAATAGGCCTTGAAAAAAGCTGAAAGAAGGAAGAAGAGCCCTTGACGAGGGGCGACCGAGCACACGCAGTGGCTTGCGCGCTCGACAGGCCCCCGGGCAGCCGAATCCCACAATCTCCACACGAGCTGCGTTTCTGTGCTGTTGGAAACCTGAAATTTATTTATTTTTAAGCTTTATTCTTTTTTTATTTATTTCGGCAAACATAGGGCCTCAGAGAGAGGTGACTTTTGTCGCACTTGAGTGCGTTGTCTTGCCGACTGCTGCCTCGGTTGATCGGAGGAGGTGAGAATTTGCTCCCCTTCAACCCCGATTCCTTTCGAGTGAGAAGAAGGGTTTCTTCTTTCAAAACATTTACTGGCTGTCGATATAGTCACATTGTGTGCCTCACAGGCCCATTGAAAGGCTTCTGTGCGGCTCTGTTTTGTGTGCAGCGAGTGGAAAGGGCCTCTCTGGGGGAGAGACTGGAGGAACTCTGCGTCTCAGGCGCGCTTTCTTCGTCCTCAAGCCCATTCTGCTTTGAACTAATTCACTACAGAATCGGTTTTTAAGTTATGTGCTCTAGTTTTCCTTCGAGTGGCTCCTAAGACTTCGGCGCAGTAGGGCAGATTTGCCGCTGCCCGACGGTCTGGATCGTTTGCCCTGTCTGTGTCCAGAGGCGATATCCCCCTCACATTAAGAACAAATTTTGAAATATAGAACTTCCAAATCAAATAAGATTGAGTTGATGAACAGCAAAAGGCTGTGCGTTCAAATAGTTGCCGCTCAACTTACACGGCGATACCAGTGGCCTCCCCCCACCAGTAGAAGAGCCGTGGACTGGATAGCAGAACGCACGGGAAAACAAACGTGCACCAATGCCCATATTACTATCATTGTCTGTGTCTGTTTGCGTTTTCAGCCGAAAAGATACCAAAATGAGATCGTTCAACGAGGGGCTTCCCGCCCTAGGAAGATGGCGGACACGGGCGCAACTGTGCGTTTTTGTGTTTTCACTGCTTGTGTGCACAAGCGGCCTGGCGAAGCCGGTGGAAAAAAATATAGTTTTGCACGACTTTTCTCAACAGGACTCCGCGCGCGTGCCTCACGGCCCTGCCGTCAAAGGTGCGGATTGTAATAAAGGATTGAAAATGCCCCCGAAGTTTGCACCAAAAACTTCACCCGGAGAAAACAGAAACGAGGTTGAGTAAATGTAACAGCTGCGGAATGCTAATCTGAATTTTTCAGGCTATAGTATCGTAGATATTGAGGAGGACATGCCCAGTTTCGTACAAGGAGGAGAGAAAGACATGTGGGTTGGGCTGCTGGACCAGGAGTTCATGATGCAAACTTCGCACGCCCTGGTGCAAGCATTCAAAAAAGGTTCGTTCCATCACAGGGAGAAACGTGTAGAAGCACACCTGCTATTGCAGCAGCAAGAGCTTCTGCAACTGTTGTACCAGCACTAGATGCATATAGATTTTTCGGCAGCTGCTGTACCAGATGCAGCTGCAGATCGGATTTCTTCTCGTTGTTGTGCTCATTGCTGGCTGCTGTTACAGCGTCGAAATATATTTATTCCCGTGGGTTCGTTCGTCTCTTGTACGCCTCCAACCCATGGCTGAAGCACTCGATTGCCACAATGGAGCAGAAGCTCGAAATGGTGAAGAAGCTGGAAAAGGTCGCCGAAGGCTCCAAGCTGTTCTACTGGAGAGGTACTCAGGCGTTGTACTACTAGTGTCTCCTATGTACTCGTACATATTTGCTTCTACCCAAAGATGCACGCTTTGGTTGTGCAGCCACACAGAACGGTTGTGGTGAGCTTCTGCCTCTAGGGAAACCGGCGAGCGCCAACAAACTCCTCGCCGAAGCATCGCTTGCTAGGGTCTTCCCGAAGCGTTCACGCCTATTGGGATCTGGCCGTCAGTTTTACCAGAAGCACTTGGGGACACTGACGCAGGCCTTGCAGCAGGCGAAAGCCGGAACGAAGGCTCTTGAATTGATCATGGCCTCTAAGAGTAAGGGTCTAATTTTCATGCACGTTCCATGCCCTTGTTACGATGTTTCCAGCTCCAGTACGGCAGGGACATCAGAAGAAGCAAAGATATGAAGACGCAGTTACAGGCCACCTTTTAGTTGCTTTTGTTTGGCTGTTGGCATCTGCTACTGTTTTTCAGCCCTTCCTCTCTACTCGTGGACGCAAAGCATGTTCAATCACCCGCTGGCGACGTTGCAAAACACAGTCGTGCACGGGTTTGAAGAGGCAATCGGAGGTGTTACGGGTTTGTTTACCAGCGAAGTAAGAGGGAGCTGCTTCTCGTTCGCCTATCGCGTCAACTCCATTGCGCCGTACACTGCAGTCTACCCTGGAGGCATTCTCGGGAGCATCATGAAAGGCCTCGTCCGTTCTTATTTCCTAGTGTTCCAACAGTCTCTAATCAACTTCAAGGGTATCTTTGCAATGCTTATCGGCATTATTTGCAAAACAAGAGTCATTCAGGCAGCTGTCGGTGCGATCAAACCCATTTTCCGCCTAGCCCGAAAAGGGGCGCGTGCTTTCCAGCTATTCAAATCCAAAACAATCGGTAAATCGAAGGCATGGAGATTGGCACAAGGACATTAGACAAGCACATATCACGCGGTGCTTTGGGAAATTCAACACAGCAGGCTTGCATTTTCTATGTTGTTTTCAGGTATGAGGGGTGATCCAGTGGGCCAAGGGCTGATGGATCGCCTGTTCAAACGTGAAGCTGTCGTTCTGACTACCATCCTCTTCCAAATGCACGCGGTTGACGTGGAAAGTCAATACCGGGAGGCTGAGGAAATCAAGAGTGCCCTCTCAGGACCTGGGGGTTCATGGGCCCTTGCTGAGGGACTTTTCGTCGGTGGAGCTGAGTTCGGTCGCGCCTTTGTCAATTTGGTGCGGAAGTATAGAAAAAGCGCTGCGGCGTATGTGCAGGCATGCGAAGCTTTAAAGAGTGGCAGCTTTGAGAGCGCCAACGACCAGCAAGACAACCCAGAAAACACAAGTCAGGACAGATTTGCTTCTGCTGGCGCGCACGTGGAGAAGCTAATTGGAGATGCACTTGAGTTTTTTGATATGGCACACCCCGAGGCTTCAGGTGGCGATGATCCCCTTACAACGGAGCAAAAGGTGAACATGTTGCGACGGAGCTGCAGAAAGAACCGACGCTTCGTCGAGACCTATGAGAAGGACCACCTTGAGTATACGAAGCGCGTGATTGTCCAAATGGTGCGTGTTCTGCAATATTATTTCAAGTATTTCAAGTCGTACATAGCCGATATCCTCTCCATTTTCTACGAGTCTGCCATAGCAATGCTCGAAGCAAAGATAAACGATTCGCTAGGAGCTGCAGAGGGATCCAACAGCCCAGCTGACGAAATGGTCGCATCTGAAGCTCGTCATGCAGCCAGAAAGAGCGCTGCACAATCCGCAACAGACGAATCAACGCTCCCAAGGAAACTCTTTAGGGCACCCAAGTTCGCAGAGGAAGCCACGAATCTAGCAAACGGACTCTATGAAGCAGGTACATCCAACCTGAATGCATCACGTCAAGCATGCAGTACTTTGGATTCTTCTAAAGAATTTCTACTCATCAAGCGTGATTCGTACGGCTATTTACAGGGGACTGCATAATGGTAGAAAAGGTTGTCACAGGAGACTTTACGACATGCGCCTTCCCTGGTCTCGACATGACGACTGCAATACGGTCATGTTTATTTTTTTGCAGCTGGAGCACTCTCGCTATTCGAAATTGCGAATGAGGACTCTGCTTCTGCTGCCGGCCTTCGCCAGTTCTCCCTTCGTCTCCTAACAAGCGCAGACAGCAACATGCGCAAAGGCTTGGGTGAAATATACAAGCGTTTCCTGAACAGCCAAGTTCTTCTGTCTCGCGTGGAGAAGAACCAAGAACGAATCCGAGTCTTCGAACTTATTGCTAAATGCCAGACTCCTCTAGAGGAGAAGACAGAAGAAGAAAAACAAGTCTGCGGCACAACCGTTACGAGCGAGATCGACCCCAATGAATTCATTGCAAAATCTATGGCTGCTATGAACCTACCCATCTCCTCGCCAGAAGATGACATCGCCTTCCACTCCGCAGGAGACGTCACACGGGTCTTCGAATCCTGGCTGAAGTATGCGACAGAAAAAAGACAGATGCGCACCGCGCAAATTGCTCAGCTTGCTGCAGAAACAGGTTCGTTCCGGTGCAACAAACGGGTCGACAATGTATATTGTGTTAACGTATATATGCATATTCAAGGTCAGTTTTGGGATTTTAGCAACTGTTAGTGTCCTATATATATAATGCGCTCTCTCAGGCTCGAATATCGTTTTCCTTACTCTCATGCGCAACGCTGTCAATGACAAGGTACTCAGAAATCCACCAGTTGTAGGGCATTTGCACGCCAGACAAAATTTTGATTCGCGAAGTCAGCATACGCAGCTCCCCAAAGCTGTTATGGCTTCTCCGTATTTTTGGATGCTACTGCGTGATGCTTGCAGCTCACATTCCGCCGATTCGACTACGTTGAGGGGACGGCGAAGCTAATGCTCTACGACGAAAGCGGAAGAAGCCTGATCTTTACTGGTGAGTTCTGCTTCACGCCTAACACCCTGAGTTGGCCGGCAAGACGACTATCCCGTGGTTTTGAGGTAGTGTGCGGAAAATGGTTGTTTCTAGCCTGCTTTTGTTTGTTGCACGCAGGGGATGATGAAGCAAGTGTAAAAAGTAGGTTTACCGACCTAGCGGCAGCTGGAGGATGAAAATTAGATGTATGCGTAAGGGGTCAAAGACACCCTGCATGAGCGCCTTGTGTGTGATGTACAGGTCTTGTTGCTCCTTCACAAGACGGCAGCGGCAAACGTAGGTGGAATAAACCCCTTAAATACCCAGGGTATTTAAAGGCTAGTTAGGAGGGGGTTTGAAACTATCTGAAAGTAACAGTTTTTCACGTTCTCTTCTTTGTGCTTGCATCTCCACACCCCTATTCGTTCAGGAGCATTCAAACCTGACCCCCTGGATTGCACCAGTACATTTAGAGTGGAGGAGGGGAATAAAGGGGTATTGTCGTTTTACGTTCTTGCTGATTCCCGACGTGGAGGGGCCGAAGCACCGCAAGAGCATCCCAACTTCTCAGAGCGCCAGCTGACCCCTGCGATCACAGTTCGTGGAACAATTGAATATGATGACACTCGCAAAGAACTCCTCAGCATTCAGAACGACCCAAATGCCATCAGAGACGCATTCGTTGCCCATTTCATGGAGAAGAGGGGGCGCGTCGCTGCGGAGACAGTAAGCGGGACAGATTGGGTATCTTTTAATTATATCAAGTCCTTCAGCGCTGTTACACATAAATGCATTTACCTTTGTTGTTCTGTTCCCCGTTTGTGTCTGCACAGCTAGCCGGCGTCTTAATGCTGCTGCACCGGAAACTCCCCATCTTCTGGAAGCGCAGCCCGGTCGATTTCGTGCAGCATCTGACTCCGAAAATGTTTTTCGACGTTCTATACGTCCTCTCGACACAGGCGTATGATCAGGCCGAAGCCACTGTGACGCTCGACGGAAAACTGTATACTTTTCCCAAGTCTTTTGGTGCTATGAAAGACATTGTCCTTAGTTCGTTGAATAGAGCAATCGTTCGCATGCACAGCTTGAACGCATCAGACGCAGCGCTGCTGATTGCCATGGGCACCGTTCACTTTGCGTACAAGAAGATTCAGAAACACAGGACGGGGAGAACCTCAGTAATGCACCTCTTCCTCAAGGAAGTGAACCACATTATGAACATCTTGAAGTCCGCCCCGGAGCAACTGAAAGCCCTATACCCAGAGTGCGAATTTATCTCCAACTGGGATACTCCTCAAGAAGAAGGCGTTCTAAAATGCGCTGTCTTCCGCTTCATGAAGATCGGATCCCTTACAGATCTTGGTGACAAACAGGTAGGAAGGCCTGCTGACTTCTTCTGTCGTACCTTTTCTGTGGTGCTGCTGTTTTATTTAGCCCTTTCATCTTCAAGAAATGCAGCATTCCACAGCCGTCATCAGTCTCGATATCTGTATTCGCCTCAGGAAGAGATCGAGACTTACGTCACTGCCTTTGTCAACAAACTCACCGAACTGAAGGGCCAGGCGACATGGAGTTCGTACTTAAACCTGGATTACTTCCTTAAAGACGCCAAGATGTACGGGAAGACAGCCGCAAAATACAAGTTCGAGGTGCTCTACAATCAAGTGAATGACATACGTGGAACAGACGAGGAAGAGTCTGAGCTTGCCAAGCTTATGAAGAAACTCCACCCGTCTCTGGCAGGTCACAGGCCACCACGCCCTCAGAAGAAGAAGGGTTTCGTAGCCATGTTCAAAAGGCTTCAAGCCAACTTCAAGGTTCTTCCCCAAATAATCAGGCAAAAAGTCACCCTGGCGTGGAGACAATGCTACGCAAGAATGAGAAGGTTCTTTGGCTCCCGACGGTCTATCCTGAGCGGCTGGAGGTATATTCGTACCTCTCTCATTTGCTCCACTCCATTCTTCTCTTTTGCTATCTTTCTCGTTTTGCCCTTCTCTCTAGTACTGTGCAAACCAGGGTTTCGCCTTTTCAGGCATATAACCTCAGCTATGTGCCGAGTGTGCAGCAGCAGCAACAAAGTGACTTTGTTATGCTTGTGCTGTGCACAGAATATCACCCAAAGTTATTCAAGGACCGCACTTCATGGGCGCACTTAAATTTGCGGAGGTGACGACTTACCCCGATCTCAGCAATGCACGAGAGGTTCTCATTGAGGTGGCCGACTTGGAGGAGTTCGGTAAAGTTCTGCTAACCCTTGAAACCGTTGCCGCCACGCTGGACAATCCTGCAGGCATGTATAACACTGTGACACAAGTACGGTCAACGGCAGCCTTCACTCCATCTGCAAGAGGTGAGTAACTTTGCCGCCCCGGTATTTCTCGCAGAATCAAACCAAGTGGTCAGACTGCTGTGCGGAAGAATGAAAACCACAGAGTAATATATGCAATGCCGCATACGTAGGATAAGCAGAGGTGCTCTCAGTTCATTCTGTGGTTCAGAGGAGCACGCCAAACTAATAGAGCGCGCGAAGGTGCTGGGGAAAGACGTCGTGAAAGTGGCCGCTGGGTGGATCCTTAAGACAGCTGGCGGCTCCGGCATAAGCATGGCTTTGGGCTTATTGGCGCTTCATGACACAGCAGGGACATTCTCAGACAAGGCGCTGCAGCTTCGTTACCTGACCTCCGAAGCCCTTGCCTACCTTAGCTCCTCCCTAGACTTGGCCTACATTCTGAAGAATCTACCTCCGCAAACTCGCAAAGACGCCGAGATGATGCGCTTCAGTTGGTCTACATACATACCTTTAACTTGCATATATCGATGTATTCTCTATAAAAGTGACAGGCGTTGATCGCGCGTCATGGAAACAACACGTTGTTTTCTCTGATATCGTGCTAACTTGACATAGGCGCATCCAGATAACCTAAGTAGCATTACACTCGAACAGCCATGCCGGTATTGCTAAACTCTGGATGATTCTGTGTTGTTTCGTTTATGCAGATATGAACGCTTCGGGCCCCAACGCTTTTGTTGTTAAAGCTCAGTGCGAGCCCCGGGGTCTGGGCCTGAACACGGCTGATCCCGTGAAGGTAGAAGAAGCTCTGTTGCGTGTAGAAGAAGCTCTGGATAAAGAGCAAGGCCTCCCTGTGAGTGTCTAGTTGCCACAGTGCGAAAACGACAGTTGCGGCACTTCTTGCCAGCTACACATAGCCTAGCACATTTTTAATCTACTCCGTGCTTCGCTGCAGGAGGGTTCTTCTAACTCTGAGAAGTGCTCAGCTCTTATAGGCTCAGTCCTCCGCGGCCCTATAACGCCAACAACCTCTCTTCCACATGAAGCTCTCCTCGAATCGGACGCCTTCGGTTTATGCTTCCTGCTCCTCCGGCTGCGAGGGTACATGGAAACAGAGACCGAGACAGTTACAATTGATGAACTGCTGCAAACAATATACATCGATGGGCTGCCGGTGGGTAAGCATCTAGACTTCCTACAGCAGCGCAGGGCTGATATGGAGGAGCGCAAGTTGAGGGCGAAGCTGATAACTCCCTTCTTGCGGTTACTGCTGCTCGCCACCGTTGAAAGCCTGGGCACAAGCCTCGGAGGCATCAGCTTCAAGTCGTACGACGCGGAGGCCAAGATGATTGCCTTCCAGTTCACATTTCAGGCAGTGTCTCCCCCGAAGGCTCCAGCTGAAGTGCTCGCATATGCTGCTGACCTCCTTCTTGGGTCTCATTCAGAGACGAAACAACGTTTTATCTCGTTCGCATTTGACGGTGAGTCCGTGGTGCTCCAAAAAACGGGGATGCTCTCAGAATCTCCTTCAGACAAAGCACGCTTGCATGACTTATTAATATTGTTGGGCATCTGTGCAGGTCCACAGTTCCTCTTAGACTGGTACCGATACGTGGAAACTGGCAAAATGCAAGCGTACGTAGATGCATCTCGGGAGCAGAACCTGCCTGTGACATTCCAAGACATGGCCAAGCTCAGCAGAGTGTACACCGTAACTGACCTCGCCGATCTCGCTTACACGCTGCGGCAGAGCTCCAAGCTAGATCCAGCAAGGGTGGCCAGAGAAGCGGCTATTAGGATCATGGAAGACGAGACGAAGCCCCCTCTGAAGCGCTACGGCCTTGCCCACATGCTGGTAGACATGGTGGCCCAAGCTGCGCACTTAAAGCAGAAGTGCCTCGGCAAGGCTTTAGAAGAATACGAGAACTTCAGCAGCTCTACTCTGCTTGACCGGGAACTATTCAGATACGACTGCTACTACAACTTCATGTACGAATCGAGCTCCTTTGCCGACGTGGCCCGCAGCATCTCAGAGGAAGACATTGCAGAGGTGATGGCCGCTATCGACTCTGGTGAGCTTTCAATACACCGAACACAGCCAAAATCTCTCCTGCAATGTGAACAATTTATGTTATTTGTTCCCATTGGTTGTTTCGTGCTGCACCAACATGTTTTAACCCTCCACTGGACCGTTTCTGTCGGGTGTGTTGCAGCATATGAAGCTGAAACAAAGTCCCTGTACGAGCAGCTGCTGAACAGCAACGTGCATCACACTGCAGTTGCGAATGCGGCGTTTACAACTGGGCAGCAGTTCCCGATTACTGGTATGATGGACGTGCTGACATCAGAGTTCCTGACGTGGGTTCGAGAAAAGAGAAGCTGGGACAACGTTGTCATCCGCATCAGAGAAATGAGAGAAATAAAATGGGTGGCGACGAGGAAGACGACAACCCTCGGCAGGCCTGTCACCAGTGTCGAACATCCACTGCTAATGAACCCATATCAGATTCTCATAGACATTATGCTCGCCGCTATGACCGGTAAGCGTAAGAGAGGCTCATCCCCTGTGCATTCCGGGCATAATGCAACTGCCGACTCCCCACTGTGTCAGTTCTACTCCAGGTCCAACCATAATCAATGCATTTACTAAAAGAACCCAAGCGAAGGGCATTTGCAACAAGCCTCGTTTGCGCCGATCCTGTCGCTGTTGTGCAGGTTCTGCCAAGAGGAGGCGGTTCCCCATTATCGCGCCTCTAAAACGCCTTAAGGCATTTTTCTCGATGGTTAAACCCGGACGAAAGAGCAGAGCCGAATACAAGGCAGACATACGGGGTAGACAACGTCTGCAGGAACAGCAAAACCTCCAATACAATCTCCTATACAACAAGGAGCTGCAAGCACAACTGGAAAAGCTACAGCAAGAGGAGGAACAACAGCAAGAACAGCAACTAGCCCAACAACAAGAACAAGAACGAGAACAGCAACAGGAACAGCAAGAACAGGAAGAACAGCAAGTGCAAGATCAAGCTGAACTCGAAGAGACCCTGCCATCCGCAGAGCTTCAGCCCCTTCAAGTCCCTCAACAACAGCAGGCAGCAGTCATCACCGAACAACCTGTAGTGGATGAGTAGCTTTTAGGTGCCAAATATGTTTAGTAGCCTAAATAGTTGCGACTTCAGTAGACGCTCTGAAACACAGTGTTGAGGTCCACAACTCAGAGTCGGCCATGGGATTCCTGCTCTTTGCATGTTCCCTCGTCTGCTGCCGGCAGATGTGAGAATGTGTGTTAAGCCATTTTGATGATTGTATGTGTCGACTGTAATGCCTCAGCTAAATTGGCGGCAAGAAAAGGCCTGTGCGCCGCCTTAACGTCTTGTCCTACTATTTATGGTGTTTCATGTATAGCTGTTCTGCAGTTTCCTCACGGCATTGTTTTGCAGTTTGCTTCCTTGTACAGTTCTGTGCCATTCGTCTGCAATGTGCCCAAAGGAGAGCCATTTGCAAGGGAATAAATAAAACTTTTTTTAAAAAAACGATATGATTACAGATTATATTGATTGTTTAGCTGTTGGGATGCAATGTGTACTCCATGTGTAATCAATTGCTACAAGTACATAGAAATATGCAGTGGTTCAAAAGCAACGGAACAACCCTCCGCTTTTACCTACTACCTCCTCATCCACAATAGGCAGGATACTGAGTTGCTCCTATGCCAAAAGAAAAGGTTTTCTACACTTTTTCTTTTGGAAGTAGAAAGAAAATAATTGAACTCTATGGGCTTACACAGAGATGTTTAGCTAACCGCATGGTCGGCTTTCTAACACCTCTTCTGACCGGAGAATGCGTATATTAATACCAGTTCACGTAGGAGAATGAACTACTGCCCTTGTAATCACTAATAATAGTGATGGCAATTGAGTGAGAAAATCTATCTGCTGCTCACAAAGGCTCTAGTACAGCATGTAGGATGCGTCAAGTAACCACACCAACGACAGTTCAGTAAACAGAATATACATAGCAGTAATATTAATACTGAAGCAGCAAATGAGATAAACTAATTCCACTGATGATACCTTAGAGAATAAACAACGACAGGAGGAACTGACCCTGCGTCAAATGAGCCGCTTGGCAAACAGGAGCATATGATTTATTCAGTGAGAGTATCATCTTCTCTTACTATTATTTGCAGTATTATATTACTATTACTATTCGTATTGTGAGTAGTACCATTTGTCCCCCTTTTCCTCCCCCAAGTTAGGTTAGAAACCCCTCCGGGGCCCTAAACGAAATGAAGGTTTGTTTGCGTATAATTGTATTCTTGTCTTTGGGTACTTGGCTGTCTTTGACAGTGCATGCACGGAGGCTGACTGAACTAACACAGGAAAATGCTGAGACTCCAACAACATATACAACAACCAGAGACGCGTAAAGCAACAAAACACAACAACCAGTAGTCTGTTTGCAGTATGTACTTGAGACCTCCAGTCATTATCCGGGTCCCTGCAATATTCAAAGAAAGAAGTACCCGTATTGTTGTAGCATTGCTTTCTGCGTTCCTTTCTATACCATTTCCCACTGCTGCATTTTCGTTTCCCCCGCTTCTGGGTACAGAAGCAGGCAACGCTGTTCTTGTGTCCCGACCATTACACTACAAGTAAACCTAACAAATAATAAACAATGCGAAACTGCAGATGGGCTTTGTGCAGTCTCGTAGACATCCATGCATACATTCAATTGTCCACGACCACACGTAGGTGTACTCATATATAGGCATCTACGCATACACATATTGACGCTCCCCCCTGGGCTTTAGTTCATCACCATGGAGGGAAAGAGTGCTCGCAAAGGCACTTGAGCACCATCAACCGTTGCGCAGAACGAAGATACTCCTCCTGCAAACAAGTACAATCCAGGAGTACTGCCAACTGAAAATAAACTCAGTGACGCCTGCATGCATCCACAGGCATTTCCCCATCTCCCTTTGCACTCAAACACCACTGCGGACATTGCTCCATGCATTAATGTGGCATGCACGGTTCTTGCATGAGCTTCTCATGTACCTGAAAGGTCCGTGATTCTTCGGTGCTGCAGGGGGGAAGCGCAAACTGGCAGTTGCTATCTTGCTGTGGGTGTGCATCAGCAGCAGCAGGCCGAGGGGTCTCTCCATGTTGTTGCGCTGCTGCAACGTCAACGATGGGACCTTTTTGATATTCGTTTTCCGAGTTGTTTGTGCCTCTGGCTTCTTTGGCTACTCCGTGCATCTCCGTCTTGCCTGTGCCTTCTGCCGCTTTACTTGCTACAAAACCGCTGCTGCTGGTGGTGCTGCTGCTCCTTTGAAACCCCATGAGGAGGTTCACGACGCCTGAGCGGCTGAAGTACAGGCCCTCAAAGCAGCAGTCGTATAATACAAGGTTGCAAGCAGGAGCCGGGCTGAGCCCCTGGCGGCCTTCCCTTTGTGTTTGTACCTCTCTAATTGCTGCTGCTGTCTCTGCACCTTCGTTCCCTGCAGCTGCTGCAGATGTCAGCCCAGCAGCAGTAGCAGCTCTTTGGGCCTCTTCTGCTGCTTCCACCTCTTCTCCTTCTTTTAACAAGTCCGAAATAAAAGTTGCAGGCTGCGCACCTCTTCCAACTTCCATAAGTGCAGCCATCATGAAGCGGACCTGCACGCAACTGCACAGCAACCCAGGAGTATAATAGTTGCATTGTTGAAGTTGGGGCGATTTGCTTGAGCTTCACGTTTAATTAAGGCTTTGAGGTTTAGGCCACACTTGATGCCAAAGAAAGGAGACCCCTACGATGGTTGCCACCGCAAAGCCGCTTCCATGTGTCTCCAGGTCAAAGCGAATGACCCGACGCCTGAGGAGCGATGAAGTCCAGACACAATGCAGAGGACAAAGACACAGTAACACACGCCAAACAAGCTGAAAGACAGGATGTCCTGCTGCAACGGGAGGGGGGGGGGGGGGGGAAAGCTG